GCCCCGTGGAAGCAGGGGTGCTGGTCTGCCTTGTTCACTGCTGTATCCCCAGCACTTGGCACACGGCCTGTCATGCAGTAGGCGCTCAAAAATCTGAAATAAGATGCGACAGTGATTGGGACAGGCACTTGGGAAACACCTGCATTTAAGCTGGGAGCTGAGTGAGGGGAGAGTCAGCCTTGGGAAGCCCCACGTGGGATGCATGCAGAGAGGAGGGAAGCGCAAAGGCTCAGAGGGGAAACTGCCAGGCAGGTCTGAAAACAGAAAGGTCTGTGCACTGCAGGGCAGTGAGCAAGGGCAGAGAGTGGGAGATGAGGGTGGAGCGGAGGGCAGGGCCCAGTCAATAGGGCCTTCTTTCTATGGCTGAGTGGTAGTCCAGGCAGTGGAATGTTACTCATGCATAAAAAAGGAGGGGGAAACAACCTAAATGTCTATCCACAGATGACTGGATAAAGAAGTTTGGTATGTTTATACAATGGAATACTACTCAGCCATAAAAAAGACAACATAATGCTATTTGCAGCAACATAGATGAAACTGGCGATCGTCATTCTAAGTGAAGTAAGCCAGACAGAGAAAGAAAAATACCATGATATCACTCATATATGAAATCTAAAAAAAATGGCACACATGAACTTATTTACAAAACAGACAGACTCACAGACATAGAAAACAGACTTATGGCTACCAGGAGGGAAGGGAGTGGGAAGGGCTAAACTGGGAGTTCGAGATTTGCAGATACAAACTACTATATATAAAATAAACCGTTTCTACTGTATAGTACAGGGCACTATATTCAGTATCTTGTAGTGACCTATAATGAAAAGAAATATATGTACGTATATGAATGACTGAAGCATTATGCTGTGCACCAGAAATTGACATGTTGTAACTGACTGAACTTCAATAAATTAAAAAACAAAAAAAAGAGCGAGAGAGAAGGGATCCTGCCATTTGCGACAACACGGATGATCCTGGAGGACGTTACGCTGAGTGAAATAAGCCAGACACAGAAAGAAAAGAACCACGTGATCTCACTTCTGTGTGGAATCTAAAAAAGTCAAACACAAGAAGCAGAGAGTAGAGTGGCAGTTCCCAGGGACGGGAGGTGGCGGCAGTGGGGAGGGTACAGAGTCGCAGCTGTGCAGGGTGAGTGAGTCTGGGGATCAGCGCACGGCGTGGTGACTGTAGGTAATAACCCTGCACTGAAGCCAGGAATCTAGATGCCAGGTGCCCTCATCGCTCCATCAAAGGGACTGTGTGAGCAGACATGCAAGTTAGCTTGGCTGCCGTCATACTTCACTGGGTATACGGTCATCCAGTCTTCACGTTGTGCACTTTAAATATATCCATTTTTATTTTAAAAATGTTTTTGCTTTAGAAAATACTGCTATGTTAGCTTAGGCTAACATGTCATGGGTTTATTGTTGCCATTTTAAAATTAATAATGATTTAGACATTCTCCTGATCGATTAAAAAAACCCATTAACAAAAGCTCTTTGGGATCCTCAGTAATTTTTAAGCATCTTAATGGTCCCAAGATAGAGTAACGCCATTCCTTTGCCGGGAACTGGCTTGGGAATGTTCATGGACCCTGGGTCTGCCTAACGGACAGGAGAAAGTCTGCAGGGAGGCTTCTGGGAAAAGCTTCTCCGCTCCTAAAAGACAGCTGCAGGAAGACACTCTTCCTCCTCTGGGTACTGACGTGTCTGAAAGTGATGCTGAAATTGTAGGAGCCGTCTTCCTACCAGCCTGGCTTGAGCAGAAACACACCATCAAAGACGGCAGTGTTGTTTCCAGATTTCATCACTACAGGGATTCTGTGAACATCTTTCTACACAATGTACGTTTGCACGTTGGTTGTATTTTGATAGAATACGTTCTTGGAACTGGAAATGCCGCCTAACAGGATATACACATTTAAAATCTTAATAAAGTTCGATTATTGCTAAGTCGTCTTGAAAAAGTTTGTGTCCATGAAAACTTCCACTATTATTTATTTAACAGACGCTGATATAAAGCTTACTGTGTTCTTACCCGGCAAGTGTCCTCAGGTTTTCACAAATAGCAACTCACTAACTACACGTGAGCGCCAATTTCCTTACACCTTTGCGAACTTCATTTTCATCCCTGCTTGTCTGATAAGCAGAAAATACCTTACTATTTCAAGATGCATTTCTTTGCAACTCACAGTTCATGTGGCTGGACACTGAAAATGCTCTTTGAAGGTCTATTAGTGTCCCGGGTCCATTTTCCTTCTGGGTTTTCATCTTTATTTTTCTTACTAATTTCGAAGAGCTCCACGTATATTGGGGATATTAGCCCTTTAATGTCATTGTGATGAAGTTCAGTAATCACTTATTCACAATCCAAAGATCTAAAAAGCTCTGGAAACTAAGTTTTGTCTAAGTATGGGGCCACTCTTTGGGTAACAAAACATGACTTCGACTGACATGAGACTTTTTTTAGCCTTTGTATGCTCACAATGTGAGTAACGGTACATTCTGAAGAGAAAAACCACGTTTGGTTACAAGGTACTGGCTGGACCTCCCCGGCGCTGTTGGTTATTTACTGTGTATTACCTTTTCTAAATTCTGAAAAACTCCAAATTCCATAAAACATTTGTCCCCAAGGATTTCAAGTGAGAAACGGTGGACTTTATTCACACACGTCTGGGTTTTTTTCAGTTCACTTCTGGACGTGTTGAATTGCAGGTGTCTGTAGGCCTTCAAGTGTACATGGTTGTGAGCAGCTGGATACATGAGTTAGAAGTTTATGGGAGAGATGCGGATGAGAAGCAGATTTTGGATTTATTAGCGTATTAAAACCGTAAGAGTGCACGTCAGAAGGCAGGCACTGCAGGAAGAACTGCGGGGACATCCAAGTTTAAGGGACGGAGAAAGGAGTCCGGGGCACGGGGCCAGGGTAGGGAAGTGACACAAGTCAGAGTGGAGAACCAAGTGGGAACTGGATAAGGCAGAGGTGCGATGCTTCTGGGCTATGACCAACACTCGTGGCCACTGAAGGCACAGCGGGGGTGCCGGCTGGAGTTCTCCGTGGAGCCCTTGTCGGACCTTGGAGTGAATTCAGGCTCTGGGGTGCGTTTGGGGTGGGGGTAGGAAGACTCTGATGGTGGCCTGTGTCCAGGCTCAGAAATCTGGACCTCAGCATCCCTGCATCCCCGAGCATCTTCTCATCGGCCGTCCTGAGCCTGTGTCTCCTCCTCCAGCAGGGGCTCCGACCTGGGGGTGGGAGAGGCTGGCCCTCACCACCCAGACGGGGCCGGAGGGACCAGAGAGCCGAGCTGGCTTCTCCCGTTTACTCCTCCAGAGGGGCTGTGTCGGGACCCTGTCAGGGGCATTTAGAAAGTTCCTGCCAGTGGGCAGTTGCTTCCAAAGAGGGGGCAGCAGAAAGGCCTCAGGTCGGCCTCCAGTCGGCCCACTGTGAAACCTTTACATCTGGTCTCCGGTCCACTGGGAGAAAAATCCGTTTTTCATTCCCAGTTGAATGTTCTCAGCCTTAAAAAAATGTGCGCCTTTTGTTCATTCTAATTCGCCTACATCTGCATAAAACAAAAGTTCATTTTCAGAGCAGCATGGAGGGGGCCGTGCACAATTCCAGTTATTGTACAGAAAAGCCATGCGCCTCACTTTTATTCAGGGAGAAAATAATATATCCAAGATGTTAACGTGGGTGTTTTCTGCAGCTCGTACTGGTGATGTCTTGTCCGTCTCTCAGGAAACAGTGGGCACTTATTTGGGATCTCTCGGATTTAGTTACAGTACTTTTCATTTTTCATTTCCAATGCTCTCAACTGTAAAGTGGGTGAAAAAAATGAGTGAATTTCTTAAATATCTTAAATAGTTGTCATCGGTTCTGATTTTACCTAGAGTGGAAACAGTTCCAAGTTTATAACATCATTCCATTAAGCTTATATGAACTGAAGAACATGAAATGTTTCAGTGTAGATCATGGCACAAATACTTCCAGTCCTCAGCTAATTTCTGTGTACATTTGAAAAAAACCCAAAACATATGAAAATGAATATAGGGATGTATGACTGAAACAGTACGTTATACACCAGGACCGACACAATGTAACTGACTTTACTTCAAAAAAAAAAACAAAAACCTTTTCTTCCAGCACTACTGAACTGTACACTTAAAAATGGTTAAGATGGAAAATTTTATGTGTATTTTACCACAATGAAAAAAACCCACTTCTAAATCTTCAAAATTCAGAAGCATTCATTTAATGAAGAAGTACTTTCAATAACTCCTTATTTCAGTTTGAGAGAACTCAATTTGTTTTCATGTAGTCAGTGATCATTAAGGCTTAATTCATTAATTATTTTTTTGTATTTTATTGAGTTACAGTCAGTTTACAATGTTGCATCAATTTCCAGCCATACATGAATATACACATACTCATTTTCACATTCTTTTTCAACACAAGCTATTACAAGATCTTTATATATTTCCCTGTGATGTACAGTATAATCTTGTTTATCTATTCTGTATATACTTGTCAGTATCTACAAATTTTGAACTCTCAGTCTGTGTCTTCCCACCTGCCTCCCCCTTGGCAACCACAAGTTAGTATTCTATGTCTGTGAGTCTGTTTCTGTTTTATATTTATGTTCATTTGTCTTTTTTTTTTTAGATTCTACATATGAGCGATCTCATATGGTATTTTTCTTTCTCTTTCTGGCTTACTTCACTTACAATGACATTCTCCAGGGACATCCATGTTGCTGCAAATGGCGTTATGTTGTTGTTTTTTATGGCTGAATAGTATTCCATTATATAAATATACCACAGCTTCTTTACCCAGTCATCTGTCAATGGACATTTAGACTGTTTCCATGACTTGGCTATTGTAAATAGGGCTGCTATGAACATTGGGGTGCTGGTGTCTTTTTGAGTTAGGGTTCATGAAGGCTTAATTTAAAATAAACAAGCCCTTCAGATGATACATCAACTCAGAGGAACATTTTACTAAAAAGTATTAAACACTTTGTGAATCTGCACGTCACTCTTGTGCAGGGGCCGTGTTCACCTTTTCTGTACTGCTCCAATTTTTAGCATGTGTGTTGCTGAAGTGAGCACCAGATGTTACATTTATAACTCAAGATTACTTGACATCACAGAATCACAGAACAAGAGATTTAAGAGTCACTTCGAGGTTTTCAAATGTTTGTTCTACAAGTGAGCAGGCTGAATCCTAGGTTAGGTCAGGAAACTGGGATAGCTTCCGAAGCCTTCCTCAGAGCCGCTGATGATAGAATACAGAGCCCTGAAAACAAACACACTCTGGGAAACTTGTTTCAAAAACAGTGGTCCTCCCCACCCAGAAGAAAACCACACAGTGGTCTCCAGCCCCATTTTATCTCCTTCCCACTCGCAAGAAGCAGCAACCTTGATTTTTGCCCCCATCTCCAAATCTCTGCTATTTATTCATCAGTCATGGTGAAGTGTTACCCGTTGTCTTATCACTGTGGAAGACGCTGACTGAGCCCTCTTTCACTACCATCAACCCCCTCCCCACTCCTCTGCCTCTCGTATGGTCACACAGTGTATTTAGTGACTAATCCATGTTTCCATGCCTAGGATGATGAAACGTGCCAATCACAGCTGAGCCACATAGGGACTTTTCCTTTCTTGCTCATCTTAGGATTCTTTTTCGAATCAGTATGCCCTATTCCCCTGTACAATCATTTAGTCAATGCTGAACTCCTCTTCAGTTATGTAACTCTTCCCTCAAAGTCTTCAAACACATCAGTCACTCTGCTTCATCTTGGAAACGCACCTCTGGTCGCCTCCATCTGGCCCAGTGGTTCCCAACAGTCACCTTGGTGATTCCCTCACCTTCCTCTCTCTGAGGTAAATTCCTCATTTGGCTAAGCAAGAGCTTCCCAATAAAGGAAACATAGGCAGATTTTTTGAGAACTTGCATGTCTGGAAACCTTTTAATTTTACCTACATTTATACCAGTTGAGGTTTGAGACCATTTTCTCTCCAAATTTTGAAGGTACTGATCCATCTCTTCTAATTTGTAGTGTTGTTTGATACCTTTGGATTATAGGACTCCTGTTAGTTTTTTTGAGTCTTCTTTGTACTGAAATTTCACAATTATGTACCTTAGCATGGGTTTGCTTTTATCCACTGTTCTGGGCATTGGAAACTGATGAACTTCAGTTACATTTTCTTGAATTATTTCATTGATGACTTTCTCTGTCTCTCTTTATGAGATGCTTATTATTCAGATCTGAGGCCTGGTGTTCTGGTCTTCTAATTTCTTCTTTCCTATTTTCCAACTTTTATGTACATGACTTTGTGGGCAATTTTCTGAACTTCATCTTCTAACCTTTCTATCAAGTTTTTCATTTCTATTTTCAAAACTTGGTTTTTTGAATATTTCTTTCTCATGACTCCTTTGGGTGTTTTATTTTTTAGTGGAGACAAACTTTTTTTTTTTACTATTTCAAAACTTTGAGAATATGTGATAATTTCTTATATTGAGGATAAATTATTATTGATTATATTGAGGATATAAATTGTTAGAGCTCTGCCTGTCTGCACATGTTTAAGATGGGGACATGATGAGGCTGGAGGCAGCTGGTTCCTACAAGTAGAACTGTTGACTGTGGCATTCCTGAAACTGCGCTTCCTTGGGTACTGCCTTTATCAGCTGTCAAACTTTTCACAGAAGAATCTTCTAATCTCCTGGCTGGAAGGCATAAGCCTGGTTGCCAGCATTCAGGTAACCAAATAAAAAGTTTTGAGGTTCTAAATATTCTAATATTATAATAAATTATAAACGTTCACATAGCCTCTGTATCATCAAGGTCCAAGGAGATCAGCTATAAATGAGCACAGAGGCCTTCACAGCATACTCTAGGGCTGAGGGCGAGCGCCCGGGCAGGAGCAGACTCGGAGGGGCCTCCTGAGTCTGGGACTCACATCTCGCTGTGGAGGGTGTGGCTGCAGCCCACTGGATGGTGGGGATGCCTGCTGGGGCTCCCAGGCTAGAGCTGGACCGGTCTCCAGGCAAGTGGGAAGCATCCCTCGGGGCTAAAGTCAGGTGAAGTCAAGGCCATGGCTACGGCTGGGAAGAAGGAAATGCCTCACCAGGATCCAAGTGGGCAAAGGCTGTCCCCTGCCCTCCCCCCACAGGACAGGTGGGCAGGAAATGCCTCTCCCAGGATGGAGGGCACCTCACAGCGGGAGTCAGGAGTTTGGGAGCCCACTTGCTGTGAGAGGCGGTCACGTGGCCAGGGCTGCATACTCACTAAGGGACTATGTATGCTGGCCACCACCCTGCCACTGACAACTGGATGGTATTATCAAGAAGAGGCAAACTGAAGCATGCCAGAGCTCAGAAAAAAGGAGAAATGCTTAGGGGGCCAAGCTCATTGCGCGTCAGCAGTCCTATTAGTCTGCTGGGGCTGCCGAACCAAGCGCCACAGACTAGGTGACGTGACAGAAATGGATGGTCTCACAGCTCTGGAGGCTGCAAGTCCAAAACCAGGCTGTTGTCAGGGCCGGCTCCTTCAGAGGACTGAGAGGGGAGGATCTGCCGCAGCCCCTCTCCTTGGCTTGCAGGCAGGTCCGTCTCCTCCCTGTGTCTGCTCCCACCACCTTCCCTCTGTCAAGTGTCTCCTTCATAAGGACCCCAGTCCCACTGGCAGGAGCCACCCTGACGACCTTTCACTTGACCATCTCTGAAAAGACCATCTCCAAGTAAGGTCACTTTCTGTGTATTGGGGGTTAGGACTTCAACACGAATTTTGGGGGGTACACAATTCAACCCTAACAGCAATGAAGGGCAGATCTGGAGAGGCAACAAATTGGTTCTTGGCACATTTCTAGTTTGTCACCCCACCCTCAACTGACCCCATTTCACTCTTTCTAGACAATAAACAGGCTCATGCTGGATGCTGGACAGGGTACCTGGGGCTTAAACCGAAAGGCCAAGATGGACTTTCAGCTAATCCTGCTTCCACCCACTCCCACTCCTACCTCCAGAGGAACCGGAGGTCACACTCATGACCACGTGGGGGGCCTCCGGGCCGCTCCTCAGCGTTCCCCACTGCTGGCTGAGGAGTCTGGGGTCTGCTGAGCTTTGCTCTCCAGTTCCCAAAATGTTACTGCTGGTGTCTCCTCTGTCAAATGAGTAAATAAACCTGCTATTTTGGAATAATTTTAACTTACGGAAAAGTGGCAAAGATAACAGAATCACCTTAGACCCTCTACCCAGTCTCCCCCAGTGGCACCACCTCGCATCACCACCGTACCTTCGTCACAACTAAGCAGCTAACTGGCCCCTCCTGTTAAGACTTCACCAGCTTTCCCACCGATTGGCTTTGGCTGCTCCAGGGTCCAACCCAGGACATGCTGCATTTAGCTGTCAAGTCCCCCAAGTCTCCGAGTGCCTGCAGGTTGGTCTTTCCCGGCTTCCCACAGCCTTACGCCTGGGAAGAGTGCTGTCAGGCGTGCTGCAGACTGTTCATCTGGTCTCATGTGTTTCTCATGACCAGACCGGGGTCATGGTTCTGGGGGAAGAAAACAGTGAAGCGTCTTCATCACACACTGGGGGCATGACAACCACCATGTCACTGTCGATCACTGGGTCAGGGCACGAAGTTCAGCGGGTGGCCCTCCTCTGTAAGGCAGGGCTGATGGCAGATGAGGCTGTTCCAGAACCCAGTAGTTGACAGCAACAGGAATAACAAAATCCCCACCCACCAACAGTACAGGCAGGTGGTGAGGCCCAGCTACCAGGAGGCAGGGTGCAACGACATAATGTGCAGCAGGGCTGGGATGGCAGCCGGGGGACTGGACACAGGGGTTACAGATATAGCCAACAGAACACAGCATGTCTAGGAGGGGTGACACAGGTGGGCAGCCAACAAGAACACCACTCTGCCCTTCCCATCGGAGCATCACAGATGAAGAAGGAAGCCGAGGGCAGCTGCTCCAATGAGGTCACGAG